TAGCATTTTCATTTCTATTTCTACTTCTGCATATATATATATCTTCTAGTTCTGATCTTGCTTGCTTTTCTAATTTAAGTCTTGCTTGCTCTTCTCTTTTTCTTATTTCTTCGTGCGTAATATGTTTCTCTTTTCTTTCTTTTTTGGATATTATTTTTGATTTTGAAAGATTTACCTTCTCAACTGATTGCTCAGAGTTACTTTTACCTCTCTTGTTTTTTTTTCTGTTTTGGTTGTTAATTTCCATTATACTTGAGTGATTTGCTTCTAGATTTTTCTCTTCCTTTATTAATCTAAACTGTTCATATTCTTCTTTTCTTTCTGCTAATCTTTTTTGCGCATCTTCAAAACCTTTCTCACAGTTAAAAATTAGTACATACCATAGGTTTTCTTTAGAAAACTCCTCATATTTTTTTTAACATGAGAGTTTTCTCTTAGTGCCCATTTTAGTGACTTTGCTCAGTGTTATGCATTATCTCCTAATACATTTGCTGCTGAAACTTTTGCTTTGATTTCTTTTATATTTTCACATCTTTCTTTTCTTGATGCCTATATACTGTCATCTAGTGATTTTGTTAGATCTAATATGTCTTCTTGAGTTGTTTTAATTCCTTCCATACTCTTTGCTATGTTTCTAGTTGTAGTTATTGCTTTTGTTTCACCTTGAGTTTTAACTGAGGTCATTTCTATTTCTATAAGCTCTATTCTAGGCGATTCCTCTATGTTTGTTGTTTCTATACTCATTTTATTTACTTCTAGTTCTTGTTTATTAGGATAATTGTTTGTCTCGTTGCTTTCTTGTTTTAAAATATATTCTACTTTCTTGATCTCTTCATGCATTGCTACTCTTCTAATTACTTTTCTTCTTTTCTTCTTTATAGTTTAGTGGGATATATATACAAATTACTAGTAATTTATACTTTTTAAATAATATTAGTATGTCAATATAGTAGTTACTACATCTTGTTACCTGTCCTATATGCTTTTCCTATATTTTACTAACTATTAAACCTACTTCAGAGCCTTTTAATTTGTCTTCACGTGCTCTAGTTCAAAATTCTATATAGTTATTTCTATTTTTGAGTATAAATTTGCTTTGTCACTCTATGATATTTGTTTCATTAATTCCTAATATGTTTATATAGTTATCTGCTACCTATTCTATTACTAAATCTAATTTATGACTATTAGCTTTCAGTCTGTTAATATTGTGTGTAGCTACTTTTACTGTTCTAAAATCTAATTTGGTTTG